CTACAGAGCAAGTTCCAGGATAGCCAAGGCTGTACAGAAAGACCCTGTCTTCAAAACAAAACAAGACAAAAAAAAAAAAAAAAGCACACTGAGCAAGCCCTAAGAAGCAAGCCAGTAAGCAGCTCTCCTTCATGGCCTTTGTTTCAGTTCCTGTCACCAGGTTCCTGCCCTGTTGAGTCCCTGCCCTACTTCCCTCAGTGACGGACTGTGATGTGGAGCTGTAAGCTGAAATAAACCAACAGGAACCCTCACTGAGACCCCACGTGCTCATGTCCACGTCACACAGCACCTCATCTGCTCTCAGTCAGCCCAGCACCACCAAGCAGTGCAGTGAAGGAAGGGGAGATTCCAGTCAGCAGTCAAGGTCACACAAAGCTCCTTCTTCATGTCCCATGATTCCACTTTCTGAAGCGAGGGATGGCCCCTAACACACCCCTGCGTGAACATATGTGTGTACATGCGAGAGCAGGCCCACCCCGCAGTGCTGGGACAGAGGGGAGCCCCCGCCCGCCCGGCCGCCCGCACACCCCTTCCCTGTGTTGGGAACGCTCCTTCGTCTGCAGCTCCAGTGTCTGTAAACACATGCCAGCACTCAGTCCCTCAGCCCCTGCACCTGCCTCTCGCTTGTTTCTCTCAAGTGTATCGCACTGGGGGAAGATGAGACATGGAATCAAACTCCTAGACAGGCTGGTGGAAGTTTCAGCAGCTGGAGACAGCATGCCTCACCAGTGACAGACAGAAGTAAGTTTTTAAACCTTCACATAGGGTTGGGGATTTAGCTCAGTGGTAGAGCGCTTGCCTAGCAAGCCCAAGGCCCTGGGTTCGATCCTCAGCTCCAAAATAAACAAACAAACAAACAAACAAACAAGTGCCTTCACATAGTGCATGCAGGCTAGTCAACAAAATAAGCTGACATCTTCAACTTGTGAGTGAATTAAACGCTTGCTTGCAGTGAGGTTGGTGTGGAGTGTGGGCCACAGAAGAACATGCTCACAACAGACTGTCAACAAGGGCAGATTATTCTACCATGACGCTACCCTTCCAGTTACTCAGCTGGAACCCACGGAGCCACACAGCTCCCTGGTTAATGCTGGCCACCCAGAAGCCAGGAGCCGAGGCCTCAGGACAGCCACAAGGGATCACTTGAGCACAGAGACATTACCATAAGCACAAGTCTCAGCTCACAGACCACTAGCAGAGGGAGACCTTTTGAACAAGTAAGACATGACAAGGGACGGAGTCAGCTCTCACAGGGACCAGCATCTTTTGTGCAAAGGAAGCTCTGTAGCTCTGGATGAAGACTCCAAGGACCCAGCTGGCTAACACCAGGCACCAGCCCCGAGAGCCAGCAGCAGGGGACAATGGCCCCCGGCCAGCCCTTGGCCACCTGTGTGGGAAGACACTGACAATAGATGACTTGCTGGGGAGCAGGGGCGGGGAGAGCTCTCAAGTAACATGGTGGAGCTTAGGGAAAAGCGGGGACTAAGTCTGAGTTTCGACTGGGTATCTGAACATGTCCCCTCAAGGGTATGTCCCATCCTCTCTCCACCCGCTGAGCAGGGCTGACGACAACGGCACCTGCCTCACGGCACTGAGGACCTTGCACACGTTGGTCATACTCTAGTTGCACAGACTCAATGAACAACAGCTACCATATTGTAGCTTCCCCTTGTCTCAGCTCTACTTGCTGGTCACCCTGCACAAGGCTGGACCCCACACAAGGCTGGACCCCGCACAAGGCTGGACCCCG